GGCGCGCCACCGCGCTCCCAAGCGGCGCACTGTAGCAGTGCGCCACTGGGCCGGCCCGAAGGTATTTTTTTTTTCCTTTTTGTCTTTTTTTTCGTGTCCGGCAACGGACCACAACCCTCAGTGTCGCGCCCGTACTGGACCGGGACCGGCAACGGGATCGCAACCCTCGCTGCTGCGCCCGCCCCTCGCTCAGCCAGTGAGCGGGAACCGGTCTGTATGTGGGATCCGAACCCTTGGCAGGAGCGCCACTGCGCTCCCAAGCAGCGCACTGTAGCAGTGCGCCACCAGGCCGGCCCCTGTGAAGGTATTTTTTAGATGTGATTAACACTTAAATCAGTAGACTTTGAGTAAAGCAGATTAACTTCCATAATGTGGTGGGCCTCATCCAATCAGTTGAAGGCCCTAAGAGAAAAGACTGAGGTCCCCTTAAGAGGAGGGAGTTCTGCTTCCAGAATGCCATCAGACTCAAGACTACAACATAAACTCTTGCCAGAATTTCCACCATGTTGGCTTGACCTGTAGATTTTGTACTTGTCAGCCTAGGAACTGCATGAACCAATTTCTTAAATTTCTCTTTATATATCCTATTGAATCTGTTTCTCTGGAGAACTCTGACTAATACAGGGGTGTTGGAAAGCTAAACACACTTTGTGGACATGTCTTTGGATTGTTATGCATTTATTCATAATTTAAAAAAATTTTTATTCTTATTTATACATATTTATGGGGTACGGAGTTGACTATCAGTATTTGTGTACAGTATGTGATAATCAAATCAATATTATTAGCATGTTCATCATAAATCGTAATTACTTTTTGTGTTCCTTACCCAATTACTCCCTAGACCACCACCCCCGCCCCTGCTTTTTTTTTTATGGCTGGCCAGTACGGGGATCTGAACTCTTGACCTTGGTGTTATAACACCATGCTCTCATTAACCAAGCTAACTGGTGAGCCCCATTATGCGTTTATTAGATCATCAGCTTGGGACAAGAGAATCTAATCTATATTCTAGGGGATGGGCTTTGCATTCTCAGTCATAACTCCAGAGAGGGCTAAGACTCCCTGCAAATTGTTCTCTGAAAACACTGGTCCAACAAGTTAGAGTGGCCAAAAGGCCAGAAAATGCTTGGCTCCAGTAGGAGGAGAAAGGGAGTGAAAACATCCTTTCTACCCTCAAGTCCATTCTGGATACCTGCAGCTGGAATGTACTCAAAGAGCAAAACAAAGCTAAAAGACCGAGCAGCTCCATATGGAGAAATTGAAAGGATCAGCGCTCCATGTTTCAAGATGAAAGCTCATGAGGGTCTGAGCAGCCCATAAGACATAACCCCTAGAATACTCCTGCGAGTTTGGGAGAGTTTCAAGTAGAAGGAAACCTTATGGTAATACCTTCAACACAAAACCTATAAAGCCCAAGAAGTGGTATGGACAAGACACATACAGAAGTTTACAAGACACACAGGTACTCCATTACTCACTCTACAGACACTGTCTACAGTGAGCAACTCAAATCCCACTACCCCGATTCTCTCAAGAAGTCATGGCCTTCTTGAGGGAACAAGCTTAAGGTTTGGTGGCAACACAGAGCAACTCCCCATGCAGATGGCAGGATCAGGGAAGGCTTCACAGGGGAGTGACACTGGGTTTATCTTATAGAGGGCAAGTATTCCGGGGAGCATAGGTGAAAGGGCATACGAAGGGAAGTGCATGCGAGATGGAGCCGCTGTGCAGGAGAGCCTGATGGTTGGGGAGAGGCAATGATCATGCAACACTGGAGGACTGACAGGCAGGCCTGGGCCTGTTGATGTGGTCAGGACACAGAGTCTTGGGCTAAACTAACTTGTGGCTTACTCTTCTGGTTGAAGACCATCTTGAGCAATGTGCATACCTGGGCTTCTTCTTGAGGGCTGTCCAGATTCCACTCCCACACTCCCAAGCACTTTCTGGTTGGAAAGGCAGCCTCCAAGCCTAGATGCCTGTGACCTGGGGTGACCAAGTAAAGACTGTGCCTTCTTTAGGTATGCGAACCTCCAATAACCCTGGTGTCCATTCCCTTAGTCCCCCAAATATTTTCTGATGGGTCAATGGTTGGGATACAGATCACTTCTGGAGCCATCTTGCAGCAGAAACAATAGTAACCATAGACAGGAAGTCTTGCAACAAAAAAAATTTTTTTTTTCCTTTTTGTCTTTTTTCGTGACCGGCAACGGGATCGCAACCCTTGGTGTCGCGCCCGCACTGTGCTCAACCAGTGAGTGGACCGGTCTCTTTATGGGATCCGAGCCCTTGGCGGGAGCGCCGCCGTGCTCCCAAGCACCGCACTCTACCACCGGCCCCGCAACAAAAAATTTTTAAAAATTTTATACAAATGACTGATGAATAGGCCCCAGGACAGCTGACTACCCAGGAAGAGCCAGTTATTGGTGCTGAACTCAAGCTTTGGAGACAGAAATTTCTATAGTCAAATTCTGTTTCTTTCACTTTATTGCTAAATGACCCCTGGGAAATTTCTTCCCCCCCACCCCCACCCCAGACCTGGAAAATTTCTAAATCCCTCTGGGTTTTGGTTTACTCCTATAATATGGGAGTCATACCCACCTCGCAAGGAAGAAGAGAAGACTAAGTCAACTGAAGCAGTACATGTAAAATGCCTGGCCCAGCACAGTTCTGTCAACATGGAAGAGACTGAGCAGATATACAAAGAAAAAAGGCCCACTGTGACTTGAATTTTAAGACCTGAAATTTTGGTTTTTGAAAAAGACATTTTAAAATCAAAACGCCCATAGATGAGTTTTCTTATCACATGTACTCTTTCTTAGGCCTCTCATAGAGTTAGGCCCAGCCCAGCCCTTTGGAAGCTCACATCCTAACAAAGCACACAGCTCCTCTCACTTCCTAACCCCAACCCTGCCACCCTGATCCTTAAGAACCTCACAGAGCATCTACCATTTGCACATATGGGAGTCTCAGGTCTGAACTCCCAAGGTTATGAAACTCAGTGCTGCAGCATGTGGATCAGTAGCCTATGACATGGCTCAATCTCTTCAATTTACAAAATTTCTCAGTCCTGATCTTCTCTAAATAACAACAGGAGCTTTACAACAGATGCTGGCAGGACAAGAGAAGAACAGACAGCCAAGTGTCACATGTCCATCATAAGATGACCAGGCCCTTGCACAGGGGCCCAGCAACAGGGGGCCCAGCAACAGGGGGCCCTGCAGGAGAATAGCCCCTGACTGCTATCACTACTGCTTCTGAAAGGTCTCCAATGCTTCCCCACACTTGTGGGATTTCTGGATTAGGGATGGTCGGGAATTCTGCCGTTTGCTGACTGAACACATATGGCTGAACAGGAAATTAGGTTCTTAGACACAAACACCCCATTTGAGAGCTGCAGCTCTGGCCAACCCAGAAACTTCCTGCTGTATCCACTCATTGCTGGGATTGGGGTGGACACTGCAGCATGAGGGAGAGAGGAGGTGACTTGGGATGAAAAAGGCTTTTATGACTGCTAAGAGTTTGGTGGTGATAAAACTAATACAAGAAATCCATTTCATGCCACGAGAGGTCAGGGTAGGGGTAGAGACCTCCCTTCTTGAGTCCGCACCATAGGAGAGCTGTTGAACTTAGGAACTAATAGTAGTATCAGTGTGGGAATTAAAGGCCTACTTGGGTTAAACAGGCTCCTGCAGGCCAGCTGCACAGGGTCCTTTAGGAAAACTTGAGTTGCCTTGAAAGGCAGGTTTATGTAAGTTATATAGCTTTCCTGTTAGAAAGTCAAAGGAGAGATTAGAGAAGTTGAAAACTGCTTTTGGCCTCCAGAGAATGGGAAACACAGTTGCTGGGTGCTTTTTAGCTCAGATTTTCTGGAAGATGAGTGAGTTTCAAGCTGCCAGCCTCTCTCCAGTTCATGCTCCCCAGATTATCCAAGAATGATGTGCCTTTTGAATAAGGCCCAGAGAAGCTACCCCACTGCTCCTGCAGACTACTTCTTTTTTCCCTAGTAACACACCACCGGGAGCCAGGTTCTCGGCTCTGGGCCCAGGAACACCTTTGTTTCCCTATCTAGAGGTCTGGGACTGGATAAATGACTTCGAACTGCAGCAGCCAAAAAGAGGACTACTTTTATGTTTTTACAAAATCCAGGGAGTCTGCTTTTTTTTAAATGAAAAAGATTCTGCTACTAGAAAATAAGTTTGAAAGCCACCACACTACCATTCTTGCCGACAGCCCAATCTCCATTCTTTCCTGGGTTGCAGATCCATGTTAGCTCCCTGACTCACACCAGCAGACTGGGCTGCACAGGTGGAATCTGTGAATGTCTCATTCAACCAGTGTGCCAGGCCTTGTGCCAAGCACTGGGGACACAACATTGAGTATATCTCAACCTTTGGAGAACTTACAGTTTAGTGGGTTCAAATGATCACAAAAATAAATG